ACTCGAACCATGACAGTGCAGCGTATAATCTCGACCCGTTGACCACTACGCTATATCGCCACAAGCGCCCATGGTTCACAGTGCAAATGTGAATTTCAAGTAAGTCCGGGCATTTCCTATACCACATTCTGTGATGAGATGGACAATGAAGCAAATTTGTAGTCTCGAAAGTCTATTTATAAACGAAAAAACCGAGTTTGTTGTCTTCGTCGCCAAGCGCAAGGAAGGGTAGGTGACCGAGAACCGACTCACGAGCAAAGTTGAGACGGGTTTAGAGAGCCACAAATTTGGCGGAGGTCGAAACTAAAACTGCTTTTTATGGAAGGGACTAGCTGATGATGATGATTGTAATTCCTGAATTGTATCGACTGACCTGGGCCGTGGAGGGAGGCCGTCGACGCCTCTTCAGTCGACGCAGAGAGGCCGGCTCGCAAAAGGGGGGTCCGGCGGCGGACGAGCAGAAGGAGGAGGAGGAGGTGGAGGAGAAAGAGGAGAAGACCCGCCGGCCAAATGTCGAGTCCGGAACCGAGCAAGGCCGAGGCTGCTTGTCGTCTTGGCCACGTCGGCGTCTTCTGCTGCGACTACGGGTTGCCGGGCAGTGAGACGAATTCTGCAACGACTGGCGCTTCCGGAACCGGGCGACCCTGTCGGCCTGTCGTCGGGCAAGACGCTGACAGGCCAACATCCGCTTGACGGCCGCCTTTTCGATCTGTTGTCGGTGTCTGGCGGCCAGTTGGGCCAGCTCCAGCGGGCCGGGCGACGAGAAGCCGATCAACTGCGACCGACTCGTCTCTGCTCGACCGAGACAGCGAAGATCCTCTGCGCCCACCGGCGGCTGGATCAGGATTCCCCGCGGCAGACTGGCCAGGATCGCCCGGTCAACCATCACCTTAGACGCCTCCGTCGTCTCCGCTGTCGCCGTCGCCGTCGCCGTCGTCGTCGCAGCAACAGTCGTCGTCGATTCTTCTGCAGGCACGCCTGCCTCGGGCCTCCGATCTCTCGCACTCATGGCCGCCTGGTTCGCCGTCTCCAAGACGACCCCTGAACTGGGCTGAAGATCGGCCGATCCAGCGTTTCGTTCCATTGCCAGGCCCCCATAGGCTACTGTCAAATGCAAACATGAACAGAAGAGGAAAAAATGGGTTCAAATGAATTCTCTAATTAATTATTTTGAGTTGTGTTCACCCTGTTTCGTTTAAGTTTATGAAGGACTAGTAGTAGAATTTTCCCACAATGATGTGAGTAGAGCTGACATTTCCATTCAATTTGGCAGAGCCTTGCTTTCCCAAATGGTGTTCTCATCCAACACATAAATCTGATTTACTGGCAGTCTGGAAAATCTACTCACTTACTCACTTTGCGCATCATATTTATGCAATATTCAAATCATGTGAGGTAATTCCAGCCTCCTGTTGCTCAGCACTTCTTTATACTCTCTCTCTTTCTCCTCATATGTATCAAACACCCATACACATTCGTTCCTTTCGTTACTTTGTATAGACCCCCAAATCTTACGCACCGATGCAAAGTCTCCATAACATAAAAAGGATCGTCTCTTGGATGAGTCAATTTTGGTCACAGTTGAATTTTTCCACAATTGTGTGAGTAGATTATACATCTTTCTTGAAGTTCACATAGACTTGTTTTCGTAAAAGCTATTTTCATCCAGAATGGGCTGCCATTTAGACCTCGTCAAGGCCTTATCAACTCCTCCCGCGGGACTCGAACCGTGACATCTCATTACATCTCATTACACTGATTTACTGGTAGTCTCAAAACCCTACTCTAATACGAATATAAGTAACGTTGTCGATTACTATAGCAAACATATGTTTGCTTCATTGGCAATCCCACCAAAAGAATATGATATAGCAGAGGCCTGACCCTCCTTGAAACTCACT